CAAAGAACTTACAAATGATTTTATAATGTCTGCAATAGTATGAGAATTGACGAGTGGAGAGAGTTGGTAGGAGGTAGAGATTAGGTACTACTAATGAATGGAAATAATTGGTGGGAGGTGGAGATTAGACAATGGGTACCAACGAGTGGAGAGATGATGGAAGGTGAAGGTAAATAAAACGATTTAATTTCATAACATAATTTTTTTCTCAAATAAAAGCCAATAGTTTTTGTATTTTGAGCTTATACTAACTATTATAATAATAACTGTCAGTATATAATATATTTATATTGACGTATAATCATATACTATTAAAAAATATTTATTTATACTGACAGTTAAATAAACTATTAATATAAATATGATATATTTTAACAGTATTAAAAATTCGTCAGTAAAAGTCTCTTTTGCTGACAATTTTATTGTCAGTATAACAAGCATCTATATATGAAATTTTTTGAGTTTAAAGGTTATATTCTGGCTGCTAACTTCAAGATTTCTTTTGGTCTTGCTCATTCTCTTTGCTTTGCCCTATTCAAGTTTAGTTTCTATGCCATTACAACATTATTTGGTCATGTTTAAAGCGTAGGATGATAATCATCCTATACCATGTTTGGTTTTGTATATAAAGAAAGGGATAGCATTGAAAGGAGAATTAATCATTCTTTTGGCATAGAATGATTCAATCTTTCTAAAATGGAAAAGGATTACTTTTATTTCATGGAATTGAATTTATATCTTATTATACCTTTAAAAATTATATTAATAATTTAAATTTTATAAATTTTGAGGAAAGATAATTTTGACTAATAAATAAATTATTTTATTTTAATTCTTGCATATATCAAATACAAAATAATATGATATTTTTTAATCTAATATTAATTATAATATCATCTTATTATATCCTATTATAATCTTATATACCAAATACACCCTATTGTATTATGTTCGTGTTTCTTTCTCTTAAAATCCTTACACGTTCCTTAGATCACTTGACTTGATGATCTTATATTCCCAATCTTTTCAAACACATTGTTAGATCACTTTTGGAGTGACTTGATTTTCTTGATTATTACCAAAGCTAATAGCTGGAAAAAATTCCACGACTACAATCACAATCACAATCACGTGAAGAGGTGTACAGCAATTACCCCAGGGAAAAGCAATGCAACAACATGGTATAAAAGTTTCCTAAATTAACCTGTGACTTGTAAAATGTGTTGGACTTGGATGAACGAAATCCAAATCCTCGATGAATTTGATTCTTTCAATAATATTAAAGGGCCCTGGCTAGTACATTTTCTCCAGTACCCTTGGCCCCTTATAGTTGTAAAAATTCCTTGGGGATTAGATGAAGGTACTCTCTCTCCATGGATGCCTTGTACCAAGAATTAGTGAGATTTGTGATTAAGAAAATTTTGGTCAAAACATTGATTAATTTGATAGAGTGCCTCTCCATTTTTTTTGGCTAAGTGAGTAAGATTTTTGTTAATCGATCAAAATATAGTTAAGACGAGATCAAGGACTCTCGTCCAATACAAAACACCAGTACAGCAAATACGCCTATATTATGTAGATACATCTAAACAAATCTTTAACACAATTATAGAAAATTGATCCTCTAAAAGGAAATTTGATTACCAACAAGCAACAAATATTTCATATCGATCCATCCCAGCCTTTGCTAAAGTGTCTGCCACCCCATTAGCTTTACGAAGTACATTTGTTAAATTAACATTTGCTACCTCTACAAGCAGAGATTCAATGGCTGAAAATATCTCCCATAGTTTCCATAGTCGAATTTTTTCCTTCAAACACCAACTAAAAAATTTTTTTGAGTCAGAATCAGCAATATATAAGATGTACTATTTGCTATCAATCTGTTTTGATAAACACCTGTAATGCCATCTTGATTGTCAAGAGTTCCGCTACATTTGAATCCTGGCCACCCACAGGCCCTGAAAATACAGCAATAACAAAACCATTCTCATCTCTCGACACTCCTCCACTCCTAGCCGGGCCCGGTTTACCTCGCGTCGATCCATCAACATTGAACTTTAGACATTCAACTGGGGGAGGAAGCCATTGAGTGATGTCTTGTATGTGTTCCAAAATTCTCCAAAACAGAAGTTCCTGGATTTATCCACCAAATCGATATCTAATTCTTAAATAAAATCACATGCAAACGAGTGAAGGAAGACAAAATTTAAGCTTATTTTAATTAGTTTATACAATTATTTTTAAAAATTATTTAAATTAATATTCTAATCTTAACGTATGTAATTTTTTTTTCATCCTTGCAGTCCCGTTCGTAAAGAAATAAAGGAAGACAAGAAAGAGTGAGGAATGTTTCCTCAAAATGTTAAAAACTACCACAAAATCCGGATTTCATATACCTCCAGTCCTTACTCTATTATATTATATTGTTCAAGTGGTGGGTTACAGAATGAAATTATGCCTGCCATTGTCCCCCCCCCCTCTCTCCCTCTCTCTCTCTCATCTCATTCACATCTTTCACATTAATTCATTTTAATTTGCCCTACATTTATTTTTTTTATGTCTACAAATAAATGTCATCAACTTGTCAAAAAAACCCAAAAACAATAAAATAAAATGAAAACATTAAGGTCCAAGCTAGTCAATGAAGTTGAAACCACAACCTTCTATAAAAAGCGGAGATTATTTAAGTATGGCTCGAATTTAGGGTTAACTTAAATATACTAAACCCATTGTGCTTTAGACCCACAATTATATATATATATATATATATATATATATCATATAGTCCACATTTGAGTTATAGTGAATATACAACAAAGATCTTACCTGTAATCAATTCGTATTAGGTTAAATACATGTCTTAAAATTTAATATTGTAACATAAAAGTTAGCCCATATATTCTTTAGCTGGGAACCTCAATTTAAGAGACTATTGCCGCAATAAACACATGAAGAACTAATTGATCATTATTTAAAATCTGAGAAGATCATACCGATCAATGACGCCCAAAGAAGTAGTCAAGGCTAAACAATAGACAATCTATTATCAAGAAAAGGCTAAGCAAATAGTTAATTAAAAATATGAATCAAAGAAGAAAAGACAAGAACTAGCTAGTCTAATTAAACCTTCGTGTTCATCGTGGTTTGTACATAAAAAAAAAAAGTAATATTCTGAATTTTAAGTTAATTATAAGACCGATAATTATATGATTTGTTGATAAAATATTAAAATTTTAATTTTATAAAAATTTATAAAATATTGTGCAGTTTGACAAAATTCCTTTGTAGATAGATAAATTGGAAGAAAAGTTAAAAAAATTTTAAAGTGAAATATTTTCTATTTTGGATGAATAAACTTGTCAAACAGTTTGGCAGTCACGGACTAATTGATTCCATGACGAGAAAAAAAGAAAAGGAAAAAAGAAGACAACAATTGCGACAAAAGTGCCACATGGTTTCCCAATAATTACGTACCATAACGAACAATCCTGGACCCTTTACCTGCTGCTGCTACCTGAATTACAGAAAATTTCTGACCAACACTCTCACTCACCCTATTCAAAATTAGGACACTTGCCCCCAAAACAAGGATAAAAAATAAAAATTTTCCACCAAAAAAGACCCTTATAAATATAAATTAAATGTATTTTAGCATAATATAAAGAAACTATTGTCATATACACCCAAAAAAAAAAAAAAGCTGTTGTCATCGATATTGAGACATCTCATGAAATTAAAATTTTAAACTCTAATTTAAAAGTTTTGAATTTCAATCTTAAAATTAACGAGAAAAATTTATGAAATGATATAAGATTATTTCGCATTTTATAACTCAATATTATTCGTACAAAAAGAAGATGGAGAACCTTTTTTGCAAAAATAAGTTGGATAAAAAATAAAATAAATCGTTTAAAATATCACAACTCAAATGTTGGATTTCCTGTTAAAAGCATACATGTTATGTATCAAGTAAGCATTGGGTCAAGTCAATATATAAGAAGGAATAAATTGTTACGTAAATAACCAATATTTATTGGTCCGAATGATAAAGAGTTCAATTTTTTTTAAATAAAATATCGATTTCGAGCCTTGTAAATAGAAAAAACAAAATTTAAAAAATTTATCTCTTTTATGAGATCGCTCAAAGTAGCTTTTGAACATCAAGAGGTTTCAAACAAAAAAAACTTGTTATGTAAATACAATACAACCTAGCCATCGAAAAAAAAAATGAAATGAAAACAATGGTGAGAGTGCATGTAGAATGTCAACAAGAGACCTGAAGTTCAGCAATTAGGTATTTTTTTTTCTTCATTAATTAATTCATAATATTAGTGTTGGGGTTAGGTATTCGTTGGCCAAGCAAATTCTCTTTCGAAATTGTAAAGATATTATAAAGAATCATCTATCTCTCTCTTTATAAGATTTAAAATAATTAATCAAATTAATTAATAGAATAAAATAAATGATAAAATGAAAAGCCAAGAAAATAAAATAATCATCCACTTGTCCAATCCGTTGGAATGTAGTCAGCAGCATGTTAAAGATTCTTGAAGTCACCCCGTTGCCCTATTTTCTTAACAATATTATTAATTCTGCTCAGGGCTTACCTTATTTTCTTTCTCCTCTGACTATCTTTGCTTATTGGCTTCGAATTTATATTTCATTTTGCTAATACTACTTTTATCATTAGCATAAAAACCAAAATTAAAATTTGAAATTTAATTTAATTAATTTAAATAATTATTTTTTTTATTAAGATTGATCAAATCACTAAAATATTGTATCAATATCTTTTTGCTAGCTAGAAATCAAAAGTATATATTATATAGATATAAATTCCAAAATAATACTATTAAAATCACATTTTATTTTTATAGGTAAATGTTAAAATTAATTTTTAACTTTCTAAAAAGTACATATAGTAGAAGTAAATATGAAACAATGCTTGTGATCTGAATCTTTCGGGCAAAATAAAAATAAATCAGAAGACTACGAAATTTCCTTGTAAAGCGACTCTGCTGAATACAAATAAAAATGTACTTGAGAGAATAATTGTGGGGAAAAGAGAGAAATAAGGGTTTTTGTTTGTTCTTACCATCTCCGTTTATGGCAGAAAGCAACGACAAGAGTAGGCAAAATGAAAATAACTTAATTGAATGTAAGCTAGAGTAAGCCTTAAAACACTTTTGGAATAAAACCCTAATTCATGTCGTCAAATTCAAAAAACAAAGAAGGTTTTTTTTTTTTTTCCCTTCATATTAGCCTACAAAGCTAGCTTGCCTAAGTGCCTAGCTCGACCTCTGGTCTATATTTTAGACAAGTTTTGCACTTCCAAATCGTTGACTTGCTGCTTGAGCTAATGACTTCACGTCGGGGTCCAAAGAGCTAATATTGAACCCATGTTCTCTCTGCGAAAAACCTCCACCAATGTTTCTTACAATTCCTCCAACACCTAGAAAATCCAACGTTAATTTATCAGTCCCACCTATGTTTGCCGCAAGATTTTGATGCAACTTGGCCTCATTAACATTGCAAAAGTTGGCGTTATTGCTCTGTTGTTCAAGTGTCATCCCACTTTCACTGAACCCTCCGAAGTTGCTATGATCTTGTCCGTGGCCTGCCCCGAAAATGGAGGTGTTACCATTTGCTAGAGAGTTCATTAGTCCTTGAAGATTGCTATCATCCTCCATTTGTGATCTTACCGTTTCACCTCCAGTGCCACTACAAAAATTACTACTGAAGTTAGCAGATAAAACTGGCCTACCAGATTTTGTCCCACTTGATGATGAACACCCCAATCCCCTTAGCAACGAGGAATTGTTGCTGATTGTAGTTGAACCCATTTGAGCAGCTTTTTGAAGCAATGCAGTGGCTGACATGTGTGGAGAAATGTTCTCAGGTTGCATTGAAGTGCTATAAAGAGAGGAGAGTCCTGAACCCACCTGATCTCCCATGTCAGTAGAGAACATTGCTGTCGCTTGACCAGCACCACCATTCCCACTATTAAACTGATTAATGCTTAAAAATCCGGAATTCGGTAAGTCGGCGGATGCACTGGCATTTTCGCTGGTACATATGCTGCTTGCAGCACTGTTATTGGAAAAGAAGCCTAAATTGAAAAGATTGGCAGATGTGGGGGGATTGTTAGTACTGCCTTGAAGGTCAGGAAGTTGCATAAGCCCTTGCAATGGTTTGTTTAGATATGGTCCGTGACCATGGTGAGACTGATGGTCTTGTTGGAAACCTTGGTTCGCAGCATCAGGCATGAAGAATGCAGATGTTGGCATGTTTTGTAAAGAAGAAGGGTTTGATGGAGGAATGAGGTGCTCAAATTTTGCTGCTCCAGCGCTTCCTAACCGCAACATATTAGTCGATGGTCGATTCTGGTCTTGTAATGAGGGAATTTGGGAACCAACTTGGGATATTCCTAAACTCATGTGATTGCTTCCAAATAGATGATGACTACCCAATGTGCTTAATTTGGTGGGGTGTCTTGCACTCTCTTGAGCCAGTGCATCGCAAAAGGCCCGGTGAGTGATAAAACTATCACGTCTGCAGCAAAGATAAAGAAAAGAAAATTGGTAGTCAACTCTGATTAACACGGCCCTTAAGGGGATGAAAATCTAGCCATTGTTAAAAAATGAAAGTAGTAATGGAAACCAAGTTTGAACATTATTTATTTAGAGGACTTATGCTGGACCATTTTAGTTAACAATATGCTCGATGCATGGGGACGGCGGGCCTAAAAATGGTCAATAAATTCAAAGTTCAATTACCATTTTGAGGAGAAGGTGTTTAATAAATGAAGTGGGGGAATCATTTCCCAGTTGATGAAAAACCAGAAATCCCAGAGAAGACTATTAATTTCTGGGACTGTCTGCAATAAATGGAAAAAAACCATGAACAGTATTCTATCATTCATGCAAAGAATATTTTTCTATGACCGTGAAAACACTTTCAGTCATAGCCCAATGTTTCACCAATAAGACTTTCAAAATGACGCGTGAAAACACACTTTTCTCGATCTCCTCCAGATATATAATTGCTAAACACTAAGGAATCGAGAATTGTCCTCGAACTGCTCAGCAAGAGAGAGATAAGAGGAGTAGAGCATCTTAATTTAACCCCACAGGCCACAACCCTAACGTTTCTGACGACAGGAAGAGGGTGAGAAGGACAAGGAGTTCGCAACAAAGGGCAAAGTGAGAAGAAAACAAAGGCAGTAAACATAAACAAAAACTCGGTGAGAACAAATCCTGTAACAATATCCTTCCTGACAACGTATAAATTAACACGTGAATAAGGGAAAGATGTGAGGCGGAGTTACCGAGGGAGAAAGATAAAATTTGAGTTTTACATTTTTTTGTTGTCTTGAATCCTCATCAGCAGTGGCAGTTTTGCGGATTATTGTTCACGTGCAACCGGTCCTTTAAGAGTTTAAAAGAGAAGAAGAAGAAGAGAGTTCTAATCTATAGACAAATAATCCAAAAAGGTCAAACAAAAGAGCAGGCTCTTTCTCTTCTAAACTCTCAGTCCCCAAATCTTTCCAACCCCCTTTATTTTCTTTCACGATACCTTGGTTTGTCAACTTTCATAACCTAAGGAAAAAAAAAGGGAAAAAATAATTATGTTAATGATTATGTAAATGATTAATTACCTTGAGAAAAGAGTGCCACAGTCACATCTGTACTCTCGAGTGCCACAGGTTTTTGAATGAGCTTTCCAATCAGATTGCACGGCATACCTCTTGGAACACTTCTCACACTTCCATTTTTTCTCACCATGTTTTCTTGAGTAATGCTTTTTGATGCCAGTGAGGTCGCCAAGTGCCCTGGAAGGGTCATGGTGGACACAAGTGGGCTCAGGGCAGAGATAAACCTTCCTCTTCACTTCTTTTGTAGTCTTCTGCTTTAGCTTCCAAGGCAGGTTGTGTCCTCTTCTGTGGAGCTGTAAGTTTTGCTCCCTTTGGAACCCTTTATTGCATACCTCACAAATGAACCTGTTTGTTGCCATTAGAGTCTTGGGAGATAGTGCTATCACTTCCGCATCTGGATCTGCTTTGAGAAATGCCAAACGACAAACTATTAGAAAATGGGGAGGAAAAACAAAGGAATCCCAAGACTTAATTTGGGGAGAGAAAGAACCATTTCAAAACAAAATATAATGTCCAGATTAAATTATGATGAAAACTGACGAATTTTTAGATTAGGGTTCATTGGGTAATCTTTATTTTTGAATTACAAAAGAATGAACAAGAACAAAAACTATTTCCTTATTGGCTTTACTCACTGGATACATGTGCTAAAAGCCTTTAAAAAAAACCCATAATAGATGTATGTAAAGAGATACTTGCTTGGTGTTCCAGGCTGATTTCTCTTTTTCTTCTGAGGTGCAGTGGTAAGTGCAGTTGATGAAGTGGGTGTGATGGATGATTGTTGTTGTATCATCTGGTTTTGATTTTCATCCCTGGTTCCAAAGAAAAGTGTGGACGATGAGGCAGTTGCCATCTGCAAAGCTGAAATTGTTGCTTGCTTGATCTCTTCTCGTTTCTTGGGGCTAGGCTAGCTGCAACTTCTTCTTCAACACCACCAAACCTAGAATTCAGAGATCACCCAAATTACCATAATCGGCATAAAATTTCAGCTTTTCCTTCTATGCTCAATCGAAAGAAAACCAAAGTAAAGGTTTGCTTGGTGCCATAGGAATGTTTTACCTCTCCTTTGAGTCCCTCTTCTAAAATCATTTGAGATACAATCCACTAAAAAACAAGAGCAAAAAGAAAAAGAATGAAAAACTATAGATAAAAACCAACAAAATACCAGGAGGAAAGTATATAAGGAGATAGCTATAATCCGGAAATGAAGAGAAAGAAAACAATAATAAACGTAGACTGTATCTTGCCTCTCTTCTTTCTCAGCAAATTGTCGTTGTTTTTTTTTTTTTTTATGTATTTATAAAAAAATGGCTTAAACTTGAACTTACTCAATCATTTCATGTCAATATATACATAAACAAAACACATACATACATGTTTGCCCATATCCATATCCATACCCGTTTCTTTTTCTTTCTGGTGTATTCTTACAGTAGTATTTATTTTCTCACTACTTTCTGTTGATTTTTTTTTTTTTACTTTTAAAATTATTTTAAGAAAAAAATTAAGAGTAATTTGAGGGGATCGGGTGGGGTTTTGCTGTCACTGTTCATGCAGCTAAAAAATGTGTCGTTATGCGGCGAAGATGCTTTCGGGGCCACCCACCTGTAGGCTTTACCCTCAGCCCATCTCTCCTTCTCTTATTTCGTATCTTCTTACCAAGCATGCAGACAAACCTCCCTTTCGTCATTCCATCGCTGCTCTTACGGGCTCTTTCAATAAAACCTTTTTTTTCTTTTTTTTTTTATTTTCACCCTCTTTTATGTATTTTCTATTACATGATATATTTTATTTATATTCTAACTAGTGAATAAATTTCGAACAAATTTCACATGTTAGGGATTAAGAAATTCAATAAAATTTTGAAGTCAGGGATGAAAATAAAATATTATAAAAATTTAATAATGCAACTTGCACTTGGATTTTTTTAAGTGACAATTTAATTCCATCTGTCATCATAAATAGTGTTCTTTGGACTAATTTAATAAAATTAGGCAAAAACATGCTAATTTATTACTCATAAATCTATTGATTAAAATGAAGGAATCATTAATATTGAAGTAAAATCTATCATCACTTCGTCCCAAATATTGTACCAAATAATTATAGGATAAATTTAAAGATATGATTATCAATTCATTAGCAATCAAGAATTTCAACAATAATATAGTTTTCCTTTTTAAAAAAATTCACAATAAGCATTGCAATTAAACCAATAATTATTTGTTGTCAATTAGAGTAAATGGTGTATTTTGCCACACTAGTACGATTACAGGTGATAACAATTTAGTCAAGGGATAATAAAAGTTTGGATCGAATTAGATTTGATTTTTTTTTTTGGATAATATATAGTGTTATAAATTTTTTAAATCTAAATCTAAACCAATCTTATTTGAAATTGATCTGATTCAAGTTGAATTTTATTAGTTCGCTTTAATTTGATTCATTGATTTTTAAATTTTTTATTTTTTAAATATTAGTTTAATAGGATTTTAATATATTTAAATAAATTTATATATAAAATAATTATTTTTATTTTATAAAAATTTAAAATATATATAAAAACTAATAAAAATATAAAATTTGATTCGGTTCGATTTTTTTGATTTTTCAAATTTTGATCCAAAATTTGATTCGAATTTAATATATACATTTAATATTCAACTTTAATCTAAACTGACCTTATTTTAAAATTGATTCAATCCGAATAAAATTTTACAAGTTCAGTTTGGTTTGATTAATGAATTTTTAAAATTTTTATTTTTTAAATATTAGTTTAATAGGATTTTTAATATATTTAAATAGATTTATAAATAAAATAATATTTTTATTTTATAAAAATTTAAAATATATATAAAAACTAATAAAAATATATAATTTAGTTCGGTTTTTTTTTTTTTTTTTTTCACATCCTGATCCAAAATTCAAATCCAAACTTAATATATACATTTAATATCCGACTTTGATCTAAACTGAAAAAGAAAAAAACAATCCGAATTGAACCAAATAATACAATTTCAATTAGCTTTTGGTTTTTAAATTTTTTTTCCTTACTCTTAGACACGGTACACCCATTTCACCGCACCACCAAACGAAGCCTTAATTTCATTAAGAGAAAAAAACGACTCTTATAATATAATTGAACAATAAGTTAAATTACATTCAAGAAGACTCATATTTGAAATTTTAGGGTGGTTATACATTCTTGCATATCATAATTTTTTTTTAATACATAATTACACGTTTTATTTGACCTTTGGCATAGATTTCTTTTAAACCACGTACACGAACCATATTTAATTTATCGTATACACTATTATACAAGTACTCACTAATTAGTTATTACCTCAGCCATTAAACCAAGTTGACCTTTTTGTCACCAAACCTGTGGGTCTTTTGCTTTTCCTAATTAATTCTTTGTCACTTGCCTCACCTGTTGATTGAGTTATATAATCTAACGATTGAATTATAAAATAACACATATTATCAATTTCAATCATTAAATTAAAAAAAATTATTTTATTCATCCTTTCCCATGCATGCTTCCCACCAAACATAGCATAAGACTCGAACATATGTTTTCTAGCAAAATCCGTCACTTCTTTACCACTTGAGTCAAATCCAAATATGATCCCACTATATTTCAATTCAGTTTTCTCCAATAATTATATGCATACAAGAAGCATATATTTATATGTACATAATTGTTTTGTGATGACATTTTTAAAAATGAAAAATAAAATGGTTTTTTTTATTAAATTAAAAAATTAATATGAGAAAAATCAGTTATGTATTTGTGTATATATATGTTTTTATGTATATATAACCTTTTCCCGTAAAATAATTGACCTTTAATCTGAGGTGCAAGTATAGTTGACTTGAAAAGTGCCTTATAAATTCAAATTACTTTGTTTAGAAGGGGTAATTCATAGCAAATAAATTTCTTTTAAATTACTAGCATTTATTGGTAATTTTCCAAATTCATAAATAAGGTTGTATGTGTCAATATCTTCACCAAAAAGCATCGAAATTTGATAGGCATTTTGGAAGGAATCTATCCCATATATGTGCATGATAGTGAATATCTAGCCTACCATTCAAAGTTCAATCACAAAATCCAAAGAAAATATTCTTTATCTAGGAAAACCACTTGAAGTCTCTCTTCTCAACTTATTTTGTAGTTTTCTAAATAATAATCAACTATTAATGCTTGTAATTAATAAGTAAACTTAGGAAAAAATAAATGCAATTATAAATAATATTACAGGTTGATATAGGCTCTCAAAGAGGCAAAAGGTATTGAGTTGAGACAGGTTATCTTGAGTATTACATTAATATTACATGGACATGACATTGCTCCATCCATTCTGGCTAATTGGGGGCTTAGCAACTTAAAACTTTGACAGAACACAAGATTGGTTCCTATAGTGAACAATGGCACAACAATAATACAAGATAGAAAATGATAAAAGGTCCATAATGCACACTATCATTATTAAGAGTTCGTTTTCTATACACTGACAGTGAAATTTTTTAGTTTTATATGAGGAATTAAGAAAATGCATAATTACATAATTATTTTCCTAAATATTACTTTAATCAATACGAATAAACACACACAATATTTCCCTATAATTAATGAAAAGTAAATTGGTAAGTAGCTGAGGAAAGGAACTTAATTGATGTGTAACCTAATTACTTTGGAAAAGACTTCCAAACTAAAATTAATCAAGTTATTAATCATTGGGATTTTTTGGATCCAACAAATTAAAACACTAAATATGTAGTGATGTTTTATTTTTGCCCCAATTATTGCTCTGTAGGATCATTTAAGGTATACAACCAAATGTCTTAAAATAGGTCATGAAAAATAGGTAATAGACCTATCCATGGATCGAATCAGGTTAGACAGCGTATAAACAAGTTTCAAGTTTGTCCAAGCTCGAACTGGCTTGAAATATAAGCTTTATTTTGTTGTCTAGTCCCGATCCATTTTTAAAAGACTCTATCCAAGTTCACCTATATTTTAATTTTTCAAATAAAAAAGTAAAAATATTATAATAAATATTAACTATGATAAAACAAATAATTAACAAAATAAAATCGAAACAAAAAACTTTATTAATTTAATTAAGTGTTTGAATGTGTTTAGTATATGTAAACATAGGATATTAATGTATTCATATATATTATTTAATTATCTATTTATTTATTTTTATGTAATATAAATATAAATAAAAAAACATGTAATAGTTATTCGGGCTAGGTTAGGTTGAAACCTTGAACTTTATTTTCAAGGCTCAACTCATTTTTTTAAACAGTCTTGAAATTCAAGTCCAGGCCTATTTAACAAGCTTAAAAAGTTATGTTCAAGCCTTCTTAAATTTCAAACGACCTCTTAAGTTTGAGTTGATAGCTCGATCTTTGAACATGTCTAATCAACAATATGTCACAAAAAGCTTTGAATAAAATCGACAACGTGACAGTTGAACTTCGTCACATATTTTATGAGAATATTTTGTGATATTAAAATAATTTATTAATGATGAACTTGTTAAAATTTTCATGTACATATAAATGTCATTAAATATATTTTTTTGTGATGAATATACTTTTGTCCTTTATAATTAAAATTTTATCCATTTTTAGTGACATTTGACATTTTATTTAAGACGAGATTGTATTACCATAGATGACGAATGAATGATCACCTATCGTGTGACCATTTTGGTGTTGTCACTAATATTTGAAAATTTAACTCCTATTATTTAGTGACAATATATATATCTTTTATTGACGAAAATACTTGTCACAAAAGATTAGCATGAAGGTGACGTTTTGTAATCTTGTCACCATAGTGTTATAAATAGGTGACAAAATCACGGAATGGTCATATTTGATTTTTAGCGACGGTATAAAAATATGATAACAGTAAAATTTTCATCACTAAAATCATTTAGTGACGGAAAATTAATATTGTGTGACATTAATTAATGCGTTACTAATTGACAAATTTGTTTCCCTGTTAGGTCGGGAGAATAGCAGGATTGATCCAATTTTATATCATCAAACATGCACCTAATAATATTTTCAGCTCTTTCACTTTGTTTCTTTTTTTTTTAATTGGAAAATCTTCAGCTCATTTGGTCGTCCTTTGGACTGTTATATATATGCATGCCAAATACATTTCAATGTGATCAAGGGTTCCGCATATGAGAGGATAAAAAAAAAGCTGTTTGGTTAGCTTCCAAGACAATTGTTGTTCTTATAGAATTGATCACGGACTCGAGTCA